ACAATGACAGAAGGCCCAGGAGGAAGAAGCAGCCTGCTTACAGTGCCCGGAAGCAGCAGCACAAACAGAGCCAGATTAGGAAGACCCTTTTCATGTCACGTGACGTCACCTGCCAGTGAACACCAAGATCTTCCATGAAGCACGACCTCACTCAGCAAGGTGCCAGAAATTAGCCCAACAGAACCTAGTACTGGAGGGCTCTCAGGGAATTTTCAAACAGTTGTTTTAAGGCAACTCAGTGAACTAAGAAAAAATAATCAAAAGAGAGATGTTTAAATATTCCAACAGAGAAACTTTGAACAAAGAGTAGAAGACAATTTAGAAAAACAAAATTCTTGAGCTGCAGAGTAAAGTTAAAAATATGACTAAAGTCACCAAGTACAAGCTAGATCAACCAGAAAAAATATTTCGGAGCTTGAAGTGCAGCTATTTGAATCTACACACTCAGAAGAGAATGCAAAAAAAAAAAAAAAGAATGGAGAATGACAAGATCCTACAGAGCTTGTGGGAGGGAATTACAAGAGCAAAGATGGATTTGTTTGGGGTTCATGAAGAATTTCAGGATGTCAAACGGGTAGAAGAAGAGCTAGTCATAAAAAAAAAAAAAAAAAGAAACCTCCCAAACCCTGAAAAAATTGAAATATCCACATCTAGGAGGTCAGGGGCCCCCAGTCAGATGTAACTCAACTGGGTCAAGCCACAGACAAATAATAATCACGGCCTCAAAGGCAAAATGTAAAGGGATGTCAAGAACACCAGATCTGAGAAGCCACCTACACCATGGTGTCTTTATTTCCCCGACAGCAAACATCACAGCAGAAACCTTCTCAGCCAGGAGAGTGGTCTGAGGCTTTCACTGGGCTGAAGGAAAGAACCATCAGCTAAGCACAATGTCCTCAGGAAGCCGAGCCTCGAAATGAAGGCGAGCAAAGGAGATCCCCAAATGAAGCTAAGAGGCTATGTCTCCCTCAGGCCACTCTACAGGAAATGTCAAGTGAAGTACTTCAAGCTGATATAAAGGAACGTTATTAGGTGGGAAGAAAATAAGAGAAAGTATAAAACAATTAGCGTGGCATGGCGGCACACCCTGGAAATCCCAGCACTCAGAAGAGGAGGCTGAGGCAGAAGGATCACCATGATTTTGAAGCCAGCACAAGATGCACAGTGAGCTCAAGGCCAGCCAGAGCTACATAAAAATACCTAGTTTCACAAACAAACAAAAAACTTATGAAACAAATTCAGAATATTCTAATTCGTGACTGTTGGCACATAAACTATACTTTTACCATGAAGATTAAGTATGAAGAATTTCAAAATAATAACTATATAAGAATGTTCAGAGATAGGCGATATAAAAGGAAGTAAAGTAGGATATTAAAAATTCAGAATGTTGTGAGGAATAGAGAACAAGGAGAGAGTTTTCTTATTAGTATATTTTCTTTTGTTCTGTTTGTTTCTTTTTTCTTATATTTACAATCATGATAATTTGCTACCATTTCAAAATAGCTTCTTATAAACAAAAGATATTTTTGTAAGCTTCATGGTAACCAGAAGGGGACATGGAATTGCAAATGGATTTTAGAAGAAAAAGCAAATTAAATTCTGCTTATAAGAAAAATAAATCACTATATCTCTACATTCAAGCAGACTAAAGGTACAGTGTCATGGTTATTTTCTTGTCACTGAGACCCAACACCTGACACCCACAATTTAAGCAAGGAAAGGTTTACTGTGGCTCACTTTGTAGAGGTTTCAGCCCGTGGTCAGCTGGATCAAAGCAGGGTGAGTTGGCAGAGGAGAAAGGGCTCGTGTAGTGACAGCAGGGAACAGGCAGAACATCAAGGGAGGAGAAGGAGACAGACCTTTCCAGGCCACGCTCCCAGGGGCTCTCCTCTTCCAACGAGGCTTCAGCTCCCAGCATCACTTTCTGCTATAATCGCACCAGTGCTTTAATCCACTCGTGAGTATCACACCTCACGCCCAGTCACCACCCGGGAGCGCTGCCAATGAGTGCATGAGGCTTAGGGGGACGTCCAGGTATAAACTGTAACAGATGCAGTGAAATGTTCCACATGAATGAAAACAAGCAGGCAGGAGCAGCCTCCCTGATGTCAGATTAAGCAGACTTTGAATCAAAGGCAGAAAAAAGAATGTCACAGAATAACAATAAGAGAAGCGATTCAGCAGGAGGAATGGAAATTCTAATCACACACACACACCCGGTATTGGAGAACCCTAACATACTACACCAGCATTAAGGCCTGGAAGGAGAATGAACCCCAGAATGTGGAGACGTTAGTATCCACTTTCACCAGTGGATAAATTGTCCAGACTGAAAAGCAAGAGAGAAACAGCAGAGAGAACCAGATCCCAGCCAAGGGCGTCTGAACGGCATCCTCAGGTCACCCCTCAGACCACGGCCACAGCCACGTTTCCTCGAGCACGAAGAATGTTCCCCAAAAAAGAGCCCGCCGTCGGCCACAAAGCAAGTCTCAGCACATTCTTAGAAACTAGCGAGGAAGGAAGGGAAAGGGAAAATGAGAAAAGAAGGAAAACACAGAAGCCAAGCGTGTGTGAATAGGGAGGGGTAACGTGGAGGGAGGGAAGGAGGGGGACGGTAAAAAGGATCAAAATGCACCAAGCACAGGGGCAAAGTCCCTATGATGAATGTGATCACTATGTACCTAACGTGTGCCAATAAATTTAATTAATTTTAAAAGCCACTGAAATTCAACCAAGTATCTTTTCTGAACTCAATGTGATAAAACTAGAAATCAATAACAAGACATTTTTGGAAACTATAAAAATACATGAAAATCAATCTACTTTTAAATAGCCAGTAAATTAAGAAAGAAATCAAGAAAACACTTAAAAAACTTCTTGAAGGGCTGGGGATATAGCTCAGAGGCACAGCGTAAGGTCCTGAGTTCCATTCCCAGTACAAAAAAAAAAATGAAGTGGCAACAAAAAATACCAAAATCTATGAATCACAGCTAGAATAATACTACAAGGAGGTTTATGGAAGTCAGGAATTACATCGAGACAGTTGAAACATTAAAAACAGAAGACTAAGCCAGACTCAAAATTTGCAGAAGGAAAAAAAAATATTAAAGAAGAGAGCAGAAATAAAAGATAGAGATCAAGGAAGCTGAGTTGGTTCTTTGAAAACATAAGCAAAACACACGTACTCTGAGCTAGACAAGAGCAAGAGAAGAGTTAATAAAGTCCGTGATGAAAAAGGGGATTTTACAACTAAGTAAATACACGGGATCATTAGATATTAATGAGAAAAAACGTTATTGGTATAAAACGTTAGTATAAAAACGTTATTAGTATAAAAAACGTTATTAGTAATCTACTATTAGTAGATTAGTATATAATAATAATAAAATACATTATAAAAATCTTTAATTGCAGCTAAATGAATACATAGAATCATTAAATATTATGATGAAAAACTGTGTGACAATAAATTTGAAAACCCATAAGACATTTTACAAATTCCTAAATGCATTCGTATTCCCAAGACTGAAAGAAGCCAGCAGACCAGTAACAAGGACTAAGGTGGAGGGAAACCCAGAGAGCCGTGGTCCCTGCCGGATCCCACCCGACATTTACACAAGAGCTAAGACCGCCTCCTAAGGGGTTCTGAAGGTGGAGTGGACAGAAATTCCTGCAAACACTTTCTACACTATTCTGTCCTAGTACATGCTGAAAAAATTATATCAAAACATACAAGGGGACAGAAAAAAGAAAGAAGAAAGAGAGACAGAGACAGAGACAGAGATAGAGAAGGAAAGAAAGAAAGAAAGAAAGAAAAAAAGAAAGAAAGAAAGGAGAGAAAGAAAGCAATGAAAAGCTCAATATCCATGTACAGCAGTACAAAAATCCTCAACAAAATTCTAAAATGAAATCAGCACATGAAAAAGATTATTTACTTGGTCAAATTGGAATCATCCAACGAAAGCAAGAATCCTTCAGTACATGCAAATCAGCAAGTGATACACCGTATCAACGGAATGAAGGATAAAACCGTATAGTTTGTCAGTGGACACAGAAAACTCTTCGGAAAAATTTAACATCAGTTCACAATGAAAATGCTGAACACAGGAGGTGCGGGACTGTCATAACTGAACACAAAGGCCTCCTAAATAAACCAAAGCCCACATTGTACTGTATGGAATAGAGCTAGGAGCTTATTTTCTTTCTTCCTTTCTTTCTTCCTCTTTCTTTCTTTCTTTCTTTCTTTCTTTCTTTCTTTCTTTCTTTCTTTCTTTCTTTCTTTCTTTTATCCTTCCTTCCTTCCTTCCTTCTCCTCACCTGTCTTTTTTACTCACAGGACAGGAATCGAATCCCGGCCCACACAGCTCCCCCACCCCCCAGCCGCATTGGTACACACCTGAAGCATCTGCGATCTCTAGACGTCCTGGAGACGTTGTGCGTGTACAACACAGCAGGACCTGTCTCTTCTCTTACACCCTTCCTGTGCCCTCTCTCCTCCTCCAGTTCCCTTCCCCATTTTCACTCTTGCTGACACTGTTAGTCTCAGTTTGTGCTTCAGGAATATGGCATTGACATTCACTGAGCTCATCAGGAATTTGCCCTGGCATACCTGTTCCCTGCTCTTTTTTAACCTGGTATTTTGTGTGAAGGTTTCACTAAGTTGCCAGGCTGAGCTTAAGTCTGCAGTCCTCCCGCACTAACCTAGCAGCGTGCTAGGGTGCCAGTGGCAAAAGCTGGCAAAAGCTTCTTCAAGATCAGTTTAAAAAAAAAAAAAGCTCATTTGCATTGCTTCTGTTCCGTGTATTGCTGCAAATCCTACTCAGAGGTATCAGGCAAGAGGGAAAAATAAAGGGCATCCAAATTTGAGGAGAAATAAATATTATTCAGGTTTGCAGATGACATGATATTACATAGTAAAAAATCCCCGTAACTCTACCAGAAAACCATTCAACCGCTCACAGAATGCAAATACACAAACATCAGAACTGGCATCTTACCCAGCTGTCCTGCTACTGGGTACAAAGCCGAAGGAAATGAATCAGACATTGGAGAGACATCTTTACCCCTGTGTACACTGCAGCACCATTCTAAACGGATGAAAACTCGCGGCATGTGTACCCATGAAGTCAGGTCTTTAAAAAGAAGGGAGCTCTGCCATTTGCGACAACACTCATGGCACTGATGATCACCATGTCCTGTGAACTAAGCCAAACACAGAAAGACGGGGCTGCAGGATCTCACCGTACAAGTGATGCCCACAGACATGGAGCAGAGATCGGTGGTTATCAGAGGCCGGGTGAGTCAGAGGCTGCAGGGGTGGTTAGAGAAAAGTGCTAATCGCAGTTGAACAGGAGCAGGAAGACGTGGTGTGATATTTCACAGCCGGGAAACTACAGGGAGCAACAGTACACTGTGCATTTCCACACAGAGCGCGAGGACTTTTAACTATAAAGTAAGTGAGAAGAGAAGCATATTTCAGCCAATATAAGCATTCAGTAATGCATACATGTGTGGCAACATGACGTGGTCCCACTCACATGCACAATTTTATAATTTTGTCAGTTAAAAATACATTTTAAAAAGCATCACTTTTATCACTAACAGCAGCATCCAGATGGATCAAGCTAAATAAATGGGACGTCTTTTTAAAAGGAAATTTTAGGTGTGAGCAAAATATAACAAGAGGAGCTTAGAAAAATTAATTTTAATGAATTGTAGATTTGGTGCCTACTTAAAATTTAGGCGAATTCAATGGAATGAATGGAAATGCCCCTAAGTCACATCTAATGCTCCGCTGAGGTGGTGCTTTCAGGGCGCTGCCCCGCCCGCAGGTTACGGGAGTGGTGGTTAGGAAGCAGGCAGTGAGGCAGACAGCACCTGGTCATGGAGCTCTTCTTCCTGCGTGGACAGCGAGGCTTTGAACTTGGTGATCCCAGGTGTCGCCTGCTGAGCGTCATCAGAAGCCAGGTCCCCTCGCCTGTGTCCCTGCTGCCGTGTCTCTCCCAGGAGAGCTCTGGCCACGCCCGAGTCGCACATGCAGATCCTCTTGCTGAATCCAAATGTCCAGATTGGCATTCACTCACCTGCAGTCGGTCAGCAAACAGCTGAATAACAACCAGCGTACGGTGAGGCAGGAGGAACGCTGGGCTGGGGTGAGCCTACCCTAACCCTTTGACTTATGTGATTTCCCAAAAACGTTCTAGTTAATAGCTTGAACACCCTGATCACAGGGCACATAAACGATAACTTTGCTGAAGTCCACCACAATCTCACTGACTGCACCTTCTCCAGGAAAATTTTTGTCATCTTCTACTTGACAACTGCAAACTACAGGTGTTATACCAGATTCAGACTGAATTTGTGATTTTCCCTTGACTTTGCTGTGGAAGTGGTATTGGCTCTCCGCAATCCACAGACAGCCAAGGCTTCTCTGTTCAGCTCACAGCTGCTGTTATTTTTGTTTTTACTTTTTATATTTTAAAAGGGTGTTAATGAAAGGAAGAACACCATCAATAAAAGGGTGGATAAGAAAGAAGAAATAGAGGCCGAAACAGATCCCAAAGACTAAACTGTTTATTATCTTGTTTTCTGAGAAAAATATTTGCCAGTCCTTAACTCACAGTGAGGAGTTTGTGTTCTAGCAAATCTTCCAAGGTAAAGGTAATCTCTGTGTTTTTAAAAAGATACTCATGCCTTTAACTATAGTTTATGTTTCCATCATTGTAGTAAATATTTTTTTTTTTTTGACAGTGTGACTGTCCCATGATTTGGGTCAGTGGCACACTCACATAATTCAGGAGTGTGTTTGTTTTATTCTGTAATTCTAGTTAGACCCCCTGAAATGTACCAATCCCTTTGTTTCTGAAACAAGAGATTCAGTGCCACCTCATCCCTTCCCGCTCCACTCCTGGTACCAGCCATCTGTTCAGCCAGATTTCCTAAGTGAGAAGTCATCTTTTAGAGACCAAAATCTCATAGTGGAGGTGCTGATAGCCAATGAGTTGTCTGTAATGGTAAGATACATTGGTTTTTGTTCCTATGTCTTTCAGCTAGGTATTTTACCAATGTGGAAATATACTAATAAACCTTATTGATATTTCCAAATCATACCTATGCGTATAGATATTTCTCTTAACACATTTTATTTTATATTGCTTTTCTCTTATGTAGCAATCAAGTCTTACAAAAGTGTACGTAATTTCTTGATTTTTCTATAGTAAAATAATAAATGTTATTATTAAAAATCCATAAAAACAAGTCACATGAACTTGTTTACTAGTATCTGTTTAGAGATGTGTTAGAGGGCTGTAACCTGTACTCATGGACAGCTGCGTGGTAATATGGGTCTGAGGAAAGATGACGGTGTTTTGTTCTGAAAAGCACGTCACAGCTCTGCTTAAGACACTAGAGTGCACATGAGCACCATGTTCGGGGCCACTTTGAACAGTGATGTCACCAATTAAAGCAAAAGACTATGAAGAGTGTGGCATCAGAGAGACCAGGAAAGTGACATCCTTTACGAGGTGAGAGCTGATAGATTTTAGCTTTAGGCAAACCCAGTATCTTTGCGGCTCTATGAATGCGTGGTGATCAGAAAATCTCTGTGACTACTGATGGGGGCGGAGGGTCCAAGAAAATTTGCCTGAACAGGCAGATTCTCAAATATGGACTCTACGTGATGAGAACTGGCTGCACAGCAAAGCCTCAGAGGTGACCTGCAGAGAGAAGATAAAACCGGAAGCTGGCGTGTGGGGAAGAGATAGGAGAGCTTAGTTTCTCAACCTAGTTTTAGCCTAGAGAAGCAAAGGCATAAGCAGGGGCTTTAAAGGGCTTTAAAGAAGTGAGAAGGCTGCGTTTCTGTGTAACAGTGATCTGCCCCTCTGTGTGCTGTGGCTTTAGCAACAATCCCAGTAACAGTAATGAGCCTGCTGCTCAGGAGATGGCCTGGCTCCAAGTCCGTGAATGAGTTAAACACAGAAGTCAGCCTTTAAGTAAAGCTTAGATAAAAATATGGAGAGGGATGTACACTGCATGAAAACTAAAGAAAAACAAAAAACAGCTAAGAGGTTGACGGAAGTAGAAGAACATGAAAAAAGCCACATTTTAAAAAGTGGGCAGAATAGTGAGCAGGAAGGAGGGGGTGGTCCGTGAAAGCCAGCATGGACTTCCAACGAGGAAAACATGATTAATCTTACTAATTATGGCAAAGAAATGAAACAAGATAAACTCAGAACTGCATCCAAGAGATGTGGCAATTAGAAAGGCCTCGGTGACCCCGGCAAGAGTTGTGCTGTAATGAGAGCCAGGCTGGTGTAGGCTGGAGGGAAACAGATGGCGGGGAAGTCTAGACGGGCTATTTGCGATCCAGCACATGGTCGCGGGCCTGGCAGGTTTCAGATTTCAGTGCTGCCACTTGAAAGCTGTGGTCACCTCTGGCAGTGTTCTCCATGTCTCTCTGTTTTTGTTTCATCATCTCTAAACTAGCTTTGGTAATAATCTTTAAATGGTGTAATCGAATGTTTTGGGAAGAAGAACTGAGTGTTTTTTAAAAGAAGAGATGCATTAGCGCTTGCAAGGTGGATCGTTGCAGAGAGCCCCCCAGTGTGTGCCTGTAGCTAGTTTATTTGTACACTGAACTCACCGGGAAAGGCACACAGCTATCAAGCTGCCTGTTGTCATAGATGGACAGATAGGTAGATAGATAGACACAGATAGCATAGATACAGATATAAATATAGATGTATAATTTTAAATCTATTGGCTACAGAAGAAAGGCCTCCCTAGCTTGGGAGAGAGTACCACTACCTGGCCACTAAGATCCCCAGCACCTGGACACTGAAGCCAGCAAAGGCTTGGCTGGGTGTAGAGCTCTGAGGATGGTCACCCACTCTCGGGGGGTTGGAAAATGGTGCACTCACTATAGAAGCTTGGCAGTTTTTAAGGAATTTAAACGTCTGTTGTTTGACCCAGCCATGACACCTCTTATATTTACACAAAGGGTTGAAAATGTGCATCTACATGAAAATCTGCACACAAATGTTTTAGCGTTCTTTATTTATGATTAACAAAACTTGGAAGCAACCAGTTTATTCTGCCATAGATGACTGGTTCAGTAAACTGTGATACATCCAGACCATGGAATATTATTCAGTTCTTAACATAATGAACTACCAACTCAGTCCAAAGGCAAGGAGGAAATCTAAGTGCATGTAGCCAATAAAAAAAGTCCTTCTGAAAAGTCTACATACTGTATGGTTCCAACAATATGACCTTTTAGAGCAGTAAAATCTATGAAAGCAGAAAAAACGTTAGTTGTTTGTAGTAGGAGGAGGACAGAGAGCAGGCTGTACAGAGCGAGTCCAGACGACACTTGGGGCGGGGAGGGTGCTGTGTGCCGTTCCACAGCAGGTACTGAGATATCCTTTACCACATCTACAGCATGCAGCACCCGAGAGGGCCCCTGTGTGCCCCTGATCTTGGATTGCTCTGCTGTATCAACAGATGTCTGGTAATGGCAACAGGCAGTGTGTTCTGGGGGCCGGGGTGGGGGGGTGAAGGGAATGGTGGAGGCCATTCATGGGGTGCAGTAGATACACAAGAGTCTCTGAATCTCTCCTTAAATTTAACTGTGAACCTCAAATTCTCTTAATGTAAAGTCTTCACAAAAATAAAACATTTAAAATTTGGGTAGCCCTTGTTTACTATTTAATAGAAATGAGAAAACAGAAAATTTAATTGCATTTTATAGTGCAATTTCACAAAACCAACACTTTTTTTGTTTTGTTTTGTTTTTGTCCTTTTGAAACAGGGTTTCACAAAGCCGTTCAGGCTACCCTAGAACTCACTTTGAGCCAGCATTGCTGGCTTCGAACTCGCAACAGTCCTCCTGCCTCAGCCTCCCAAGGGCTGGGATTACAAGTGTGAGCCCCCAAGCATGGAAAACCTTTTTTTAACTTTGAAATAACGTTCCCTTCTAAGAAGATTTTTAATATTTTAGGCATATGTTCATCTGTCACATTATTATTTTTAAGTGAATTTATACCACACACCATATGACTTGAGCTCAATATGTTTAGGTTCCTGAATTAAAAATAATCATTAAAATGATACATTATACTGCTATTCTAATTTCCACTTGAATCTGTATGTTATGTTCCAGTCATTTATCCTTTAATACCATAGTATGTTAGAAGTTTTTTTTTTTTTTTTTTGACATTGTGTTTACCATGCAACTGCAGAGTGCTAGGTGTGAAAGCATTAGAGTTCCAAGTTTGATTTAGTACGAGGACTTCTCTTTGGCAAGCCTTCAGCTTCGAAGACATAAA